TTCCATCCCTGTTTTCCCTGTTTTTTTCTTTCTACTGGATTCATCTTCCAGGCTTTGCCCTGAAAGCTGGGCTGGGCTACTCCAAATTGGGCTTTTTTGTGGAGAAAAGTTGGGAATTTTTGAGAATAACAACTTCCAGAGGGTTCTTTTTATCTTTATGGATTCAATAATGCCCAATTCCCCTAGTTTTCCTGTTTTTTTCATGTTTTTCTCATGCTTTTTTCCTCCTCGATTGACCTGCCAAGCTTTTGCCTGGAAGCTGGGCCAGGCCTCCCCAAATTGGGACTTTCTGAGGAGAAAAGTTTGGAATTTTTGAGAATAACAACATCCAGAGGGTTCTTTTTATCTTTATGGGTTTGAGAATCACCAATTTCCCTGCTTTTTCTGCTTTTTTGCTGCTTTTTCCTTGTTTTTTTCCCTGCTGGGATTGGCTTTCCAGGCTTTCCCCTGGAGCAGCTCGTGCCAGGCCAGACTCCTCCAAATCTGCATTTTTTGAGGAAAAAAGTTGGGAATTTTTGGGAATAAAAACTCTCAGAGGGTTCTTTTTATCTTTATGGCTTTGATAATCACTGATTTCCCTACTTTTTCTACCTTTTCCTTGTTTTTTTCCCTGCTGGGATTGGCTTTCCAGGCTTTCCCCCAGAGCAGTTCATGCCATGCCAGACTCCTCCAAATCAGCATTTTTTGAGGAAAAAAGTTGGGAATTTTTGGGGATAACAACTTCCAGAGGAACTTTATTATGTTTATGAATTCAATAATCACAAATTTCCCTAAATTTTCCTACTTTTCCTGCTTTTTTCCCTGCTGGATTGGCCTTTCCAGTTTTCCCCCAGAGCAGCTCATGCCAGGCCGGGCCCCTCCAAATTGGCACTTTTTTGAGGAGAAAACTTTAGAATTTTTGGGAATAACAACTTTTTTCCTCACATTCCTTCATCCCGGGTCGTTTTCCCACCATTCCCACCCAGAATTCCCACCCAAAATTCCCGAATTTCCAGGGCTCACCGTTGGGCCGGATGTTGATGAAGGGATAATTGGGCATCACCAGTTTGTTAAAGTTGAATTT